CGCATCGGTGTGCGCCCTTAATTGCGCCAGGGCAGAGCAGCTAATAACCAATCAATTGGGAGCTCGAATCGCATTGCAATTGCTATAAGACTACCTTGCTTGGTTTACTGCATTTGATATTTGTACTTGGATTCACTATGGTTTGCGTTACTCATGGCATAAATTATCATTTTCTAAGCTCGTTATGTTTGTTGTTCGGTCTTAGTGCACTAATAAACAGTGTTTTGACGTCCACCTGTCATTATGCGTAATGTGATTGGATGATCTTTAATTATGTTCACCCCACTTCTGATCTAGGAGCTGTGTGAATTAGCCGCCCAGAACACTCCCCTTCGATGATGTGAAGATGGAGTGTTTGCCTGCCTTTCTCAATGGCTTAAAGTCGCTCCTCGGGATCAGCTTGTTTTATGCGTTCTCTATGTCTCTAACGTTTTTTAATAACAACATCATTAAGGTACTTTTGTAATTAGGAATGTTTACTTCTTAACCGATATTCAGGCCTATCCATTCCCGCTTTCAATTACCTTTTGTCATTTGCTTATGAAGTTTACGCTCGCGTGTATTGCGCGTTCGATTATTTCTTTGTATCGGGGTGAAAAGCGGATAGAAATTCCGTGGTGCTCTTATGTTCGCGAAGTTTCACCAACAGGTTTTTACATGGCCATGGCCACTTGTAACTATTGCTTTTAGGAATCGCGAGTGCATTGGACATCGGCCTTTCTAACTGGAGTTTTGAATTTATTACCGTATCTTTGTAAGTTGGCTTAAACCGGCGTCTTATCCTTATGTTTAGATACACGATGACCAAATCTACGAGCATTATATTCGTCTTGCTATTTGCAATACTGCTTAAACTAGAGAAACCGGTAGGTATTTCGGCCACATTATTAGTAGACCTTGTCTATTCTAATTGTCGTCCTTTGCATTTCCGGTGGTCTATTCCTCTTCACCTATCAGTCAACGCAGTTTGATTTGATTGGGTTCATTCTCGTCCTTTCCGCGTCCGCCGTTAGTGGCATTCGGTGGACAGCGGCGCAAAAGCTTACCCAAAAATCAAAATTTGGTTAGTCCCTTTCATGCTAGCAAATGCGCACTTTTAAAGATTTACTGAAATGGTTGTATTATTTTACGGAATTCGCTTTTTTTCTTATGCCATGGTTTTTGCGGGTATTTTTTATAAAAAAACTTTCAGCCTAACTACCTGCTACAAACCCTGGGGCAGGGGTCGGCAACCTTTTTAACTCAGAGCCAAAAAAGCAAATATTTGGAAA